GGTGAAAACGGGCCTGCCTTTCTTCTTCTCCTATTCCTCCAACTCTTCAGGCGTCCAACAAGATTCAGATCATTTGGAAGGGGAAACCATTGATGAGCAGTGAAATTCTGTCTCCTTTGCTTATGGTTTCTGACGGTTTTTGCTAGAAAATCACCAGTAAGGCAAACCTTCCGAAGACTGACATCTTCTTTTTGTCTCCCCCTTATTATATATGCACATACATAATGTATATTGATTATTTACGTGTCTCCAATGTTTTAAGTCTCGTCTTGTCTATTTGTCAATTGTTTTTGACACGTCCATGACATGTCACTGTGATTGGAACACTATTGGCAACTGAAATTAGAAAACATCCATCACAAAATTTTTTTCCTTCCCCCCCCCATTACTCACTGATTTTCTTGGTTTTTTGTTTTTTTGGTTTTTTTTACTTTTAAAAAATGTTATGTAATTATAGTCTAGAATAAAGGGATCGAGAGTAAAGGGATGAAGTATATAACAGGATCTTGAAGTAGGTGCAGTAGATATTTAGGGAGGCACACATGGGTTCCAGTCACAACCAGTTAATTTAAGCCAAGCAAGGTTAAAGGGTTCATTACTGGGCAGACTTTTTATAAAGAAGCAGAAAGGGAAAAAAAATAAAGCACAGGGATGCACCTCTTTGTAAAGTTGGTGTGATCGTCTGCTGAGTTTTTCAGCAATCGGATGGGTTTTTTCCTAGTTATCCACCTGCTTCTTCTTGTCGTGGAAAAGGAATTCTAAAAAAAAAAACCAACTGTAGAAGGAATTTATTTTTCCCCTGGGGTTTCCCCCGTGTGCATCCAAATTCAGTGGGAGACAGCAACTGGTCATCTAGAAAAATATCAAAAGGCTTTACTAGATCTTTTTTTGTGTGTTTTAATTTCTTAAATATATTGAAAATCTGCTCCAATAAGATATCACGAGTTCCATGGCTTACAGACCCCTGGTTCTTTGCTTTGTGATATGGCAGAGAACACGACTAACTCACTCCAAATGGGTAAAATGGCTTTCTAGGATTGTCAAAAGAAGTCATTGATTTCCACAATTAATACGTTGAACGTAGACGGCTTAAAATCCAATTGTCAAAGTTGTTTTTCTGTTCCAGAAGTAGTACATTTTAAGAAATTTAAATATTTATGTAATTTTGACGGAGCAATGGTAGATATTTTCCCAGATCAGGTCTAATATGAAGCTTAGCCATCAGAGCTAGCTCTCAGTTTCTTTATGCAAACTAAGATTTTTATTTTTTTTTCCCTAGTGTTGCTCTTTTAAATGTTTTCAAAACCTGTGTTGCAGCTTGGTTTTAGCCATTGCTTTCTGTGATGAGGAGTGTTGGCTGAAACACAGACCTTTGGCGAGGTTATTAGGAGTTTAAATTTTCCTGTAGACAATAGAGGGCTGGTGCATTATTAGTCTTCATTTCACTTATTTATTGCCTGCTTTGCAATTGGGAAGGCACTCAAATATTTACCTGACAGTTATGATTTGGTTGTGTTTTCTTGGTCCACTTTCCAAACCTTCTTCTGTCTTTGGAATTGACGGGTTGTTTCTTGCACCGCAGCCTCCAGTAGTGAAGACAGAGATGGTGACCATTTCAGATGCCACACAGAGAACTGAAATCTCCACTAAAGAAGTTCCAATTGTTCAAACAGAAACTAAAACCATCACATACGAATCTCCACAGGTATGGTAGCCAGTTTTTATTCCCATTGCAAAATAGATAATGTCCAAAAAATGCTTTTTCAAAAGCCTATACCATTTTCTAGCAGCTGAGCTTATGCTTTGGCTGTGAATTAGGTGACTGAAATGTTTGTAGACAAAGCAGTGTTACTGCTGAAGTTCTAAGTTTGTTTGTTTGTTTTTAGTTTAAGGGCTTCCTTGCTGTCTGCAAATGTATAACTCATTTTTGTATCATGGAATTTTGATCATAAATTTTCCACTACAATCCCATAACAACAGTCTTAGAGGACTCGCTAAACTTGGATGGCCTCTCTTTAGATTGCAGTTCTAATTGAATTAAAGAACGTGTTTAAGAAGAAAGCCAGCCTTTTCTCCTATGAAAACAAAGCTTTTAAATACCAAAATACAAAAATACTGAATTTTTTTGTTCCTTACAGTTTGATGGCAGTGCTGGTGGCAACACCGGTGTGCTGCTGAGCGCGCAGACAATTACATCAGAGTCCATTTCTACTACCACAACTACACACATCACAAAGGTAAAGTAAAATATAGTGATGTCTCTCTGAACTAAAATTAACCCCAAACCCTCCAAGTCGAGTTTTACGTGAATTTTCTCTTATATCTGCTAATTTATTGAAGAAAACTGACTGGAAATGAATTGGATTCATTCCAGGCATGTGTGAGAGTTAATCTTTCTGTACATGGATTTTGAACAGAGAAGCTCTAATGAATGAACAGGAATATCTGGGAACAGGACAGGAGAAAGGGAGACAAATATGTTTAGGTTTTTTAGTACTTCACTTAGGTCTTATTTCTGTGTTTGACAAATGAGTGTGCACCTAAATTTTTACAGTTTCAGTCCTGTTGTCACTCACTGATACCTCACAGGATCTTTGTTGATGGAACTGATTTGTCTGAGCAGTGTTTTGTGTTGATGATCTTTGTGCTGTTGCTTTAGAGCATATTTAAAAACAGACCATACCACTAGGTTGCTTTGCAAGGATATACATTGCCAAAATATGTTAGAACTACCAAAGTGTGGTGATGATTATTTTTATTATTGATTTATTTACATATTTATCAAATCTTAGGTGTGCCCCAGCAACGTAAGTTTAAACAGTTGTCTTCGAACTCTTAAATTAGTCTTCCAAGAAAATTACAGAAACCATTATTTAGGGTGAAGCAAAAGGGAAGAGGGAAATGTAAGGTGAGAGTTTGGGATTTTTTGCCCCCAAGGCAAGTTTCACATCATCACAGAATACAACAATAATTCACTGCTCACTGGATATATATTCAATACATATATCCTAAAGATGGTAGTATTCTAAGGATTGAAAGTTGTATTCACAGAATGACAGTGGAAGGATGATGTTAGAAAGTTTTCAGATAAGTCACATGAAATAAACTAAGATTAGATTTTAAAATGTGTATGTTTTGTTTTACAGACTGGTCAGCAGGTCATTTTCAGTCTCCTGCTCCCTTTAGGAATCATTTAGCCACCACCATTTTAGGGAAAAGCTTATATCCAATAAATTGTTCTGCCACAGCTAGAAAGGGTGAAAAAAAGTGTGCATTTACTTGTCAAGATTAGTTGTCAAATAATGCTGCTTTTTGGAAGGAACCATTAGAGAAAATGGTTTTGGTCTTGTCTTCTACTTAAAAAATCACTGGGATTACCCTAATGCAGCAGATCCTTATCTTATTGTCGATTCAAAAACTGTTTGACCTTCCTAAACTAACTTTCTGTTTTACATCCCAAACTGTTCATGATAGATAGAGTCACCTGCCAAAATAGTTTTGATATTCTAATAGTGTTCTTAAAGGAATTATCTTGGATCTTTTCTAATAAACTGACACGATCTTAAGTGGTAGTTTATTCTTGTCTCTTATAAAGGATGATTTTAAAAATATATATTTTTTCTGTGAAAATTTTTTTTAAAAGCTAAAATGTTTTAATCATTAGAGTAAGAAAAGAAGAAACAAAGCACAAAGTTATTTCCATCAGCAATATAAAATACCTTGCAAATACTTCGCTAAAGTCTGTTGTCAAGTGGCAGAACTGAAAAACAGATCTTTATTTGTCTTTAATGGCATAGGGTTCTTCAGAAAACGAGAAGAGCCCCATGGTAGATGGGTTGAAATCAGAGAAAAGAGTCCTGGAATTTCCTTATTACTGTATTTATATGGTGGAATAAGCTGGAATTTCAGTTTGTCTGAGTATCTAGGTCTGTTCAGACTTGGGCTTCAGGAATAGAAGGAATTCCCTGTTGCTTGGTTTTTATCAATTTTAGCAATTGCTGGAATTCACAGACTGTGGAACTGAAAAAGGAAAGGATGACTTAGCACCAAGAATATTTACTGCTATTGCAACTCAGTCACAGAAATGTTTTAGTGCAACAGAAGGGAGTGCTTTGTGGGATATAGAATGATTACAAAGATGTTTTCTTCTTTTTTTTGGTGCCATCTGTAGATGGTAAAAGGTGGGGTATCAGAAACAAGAATTGAGAAGCGCATCGTCATCACTGGAGATGCAGATATTGACCATGACGAGGTGAGCACGTGAGCTGTCAACACGTACAATGTCCTGTGAGATGGTATTTCAGAAACCTGGAATGAGAGAAAGGTGGAGAAGTTGAATAAGAGGACAGAGAAGTATTCTGAGGCTGTTAATTATGGCAAAGTTGTAAAACGATCATGTTTGCTGAATAAGGAACCTTTACAGAATCAGAAAATGATACGGGGTTGGAAGGGACCTCTGGAGTGCTGGTGGCAACACTGGTGTGCTGCTGAGCGCGCAGACAATTACATCAGAGTCCATTTCTACTACCACAACTACACACATCACAAAGGTAAAATAAAAATATAGTGATGTTTCTCTGAACTAAAATTAACCCCAAGCCCTTCAAGTCAAGTCTTATGTGAATTTTCTCTTATATCTGCTAATTTATTGAAGAAAGCTGACTGGAAATGAATTGGATTCATTCCAGGCATGTGTGAGAGTTAATGTTTCTGGACATGGATTTTGAACAGAGAAGCTCTAATGAATGAACAGGAATATCTGGGAACAGGACAGGAAAAAGGGAGACAAATATGTTTAGATTTTTTAGTACTTCACTTCATGCTCCAGGCCCCTAAGACACAACAGAAAAACCCCAGCATTTGTAACTTTGCGTCATAGATCACGTGAACGGAGATAGAAAAAACCCCAGCATTTGTAACTTTGCGTCATAGATCACGTGAACGGATTTCTTACTATTTTTAAACTGATTGCTTTTTTTCTTTTTTTGGAAGAGACCCAATTTGTTTAGTGCTGCTTTTGCCATTTGGGAGGAGAAACATTACTGAAATAATCTTGTTTGGATGCGTTAATCTGGAGAGATGGAGTCTGTGCTGCCGTGTGGCAGCAGCGTCTGAATGCAGCGCTCATTTTGACTGAAAGCTTTGAAATACATTAAAGCATAAACTGCTGGATTTTAAAAAATAGTTTTTGACTTGCATTTATAGAATTCCGTATAAAAAAAGCAATTGTTGATCTGCTAGAATCTTATGTAAGTGCCTTTCATCTCTGGCAGTACCAAAGCAGTATTTTACAATGTCTTAGAAACTAAGGTCCAAATCACTTCTACCTGCCCAATTAAAAAGACTAAATTTAACAGTACACAGGAAAATAATTGAGAAAGTGCAATTATCTATTCTTTGTGATAATGATTAGACAATTTTTATTTATTTTTAATCTAAGAAACTATAGTAATAAAGTAGATCAACAGTCCCTGGATAATAGAAGTGGCAAAGCCTCCTCTCTACATAAGGTTGCAGTGAATCCAATTCTAACTTTATAAAAGGTACACGAATCAACAAAACAGGATTTAATTTAACTTCTTAATTGTAATATACTGAGAGCTCGCAGGGAATTTAATTCCACGTTTTGATTTGCCTCCAGAAGGTGGCTCTTGACAAGTGGAATCTCTTCTTGAGACTGGTAATTAAATGAGGGGGCTGTTCAGCGTCAGGCAGGGCTCTCCCTGAGAGAAGTGGATAATGAAACAAAGCAAAAAAGTGAAATTATAAACAAGGAAGTACAAAATATTAGTTTAATCACTGAAGTTTAAAGCAGCAGAAAGCAGCTTTAAACAGATTTAAGAAATCTCCACCACTTTCCCTTCAGTACCAAGCTATTTAAATGCACAAACTACGTGCTGGATTTTTATTCTTTTGGTTTTTAGCTCCCCACATCACTACAACAGTTTTCAACAGGAAAAAAAAAAAAAATTAATTTGGATTTCCACAATACAACTACTGCTATTACTTGTTATAATTTTTCATTTCTCATGCCTCAGAGGGTGCTCTTATGTGACTGACTGTAAAGCCTAGAATATAGAATATTTCAGTTGGAAGGGACCTACAATGATGATGTAGTCCAACTGCTAGCTGTGTATATTGGTACATTTCTTCAGAAGGGTAAAATTTCTTAAAATGTGGAGGAGGGATCATAAGAAACTGAGTAATACTAACATTTACACCTCCCTGAGTTCAGCTGGAGGAAGTTCTCTTAAACTAGTAAAATTTAAAAAAGGAGATTCTTCTGCTGAGAAAGAAATTTCTGTTCTGAAATCTTCCAGATTTCCAGTATGTATTTAGTACAGATTCCAAATTATCTTTCCATTTTGTTCAGGAAACTCTTATTATTTTTCTGTACTGTGTATATTCTTGTTGAGTCTTTATTTGTTAGATCTGTTGCAGAAATTCAAAAACTTCTGGGGTATAAGAATGCTTTTTGTCTCCTGGAATGAGGTGTAAAAGTTACAGGATAACTTTATGGTTATTTGTTACTTCCTGGAAATTTTGGTAAATTTTTAGCAAGCTGTTTTGCTGGGGGGTTTTTTGGTTGAGTTTTGTGTTTGGGGTGTTGGATGGTTTTGGCTTTTGGTTGTTCAGTATTTTTACTCTGAGTGCTCTCAATTTCAGGAATTAGAGTTCTGAGCAATTATAATCAAAATTTCTGATCCTGTTCTCCCATTCTCTGGCCCCAAATCCAAATGAATGTCGTTTGCTTCTGCTGAGTTAATATTTGAAATGCATTTGCAGGCCCTGGCACAGGCAATCAAAGAAGCCAAAGAGCAGCACCCTGACATGTCTGTCACGAGGGTGGTGGTGCACAAAGAAACAGAGCTGGCTGAGGAAGATGAAGAGTAAGATCAAAAAAAATGTCCTCAAGCAAATATTTTAGGTAAGGTATATAAGGAACAAGGGAAAATGTAGCTTCAGTTTTCTGTTGCGTGCTCTAATAAAAGGCTGAGTTGAAACAGGCAGTAATAGTAGACTTAGTGTCAAAATTTTGATCTTAAGTCCAATCTGACATTCATTTTAATTGCAAATTTTCCTGTAGTGTCGCCCAGTGCTGTCACACTACTCTGGTGGCATTTCCTACAATGTTTGGCCAAGTTGTTGCAGTTTCTGTTGAAGTGAATTTTAGCTATTTCTGCAAAACATGAAGGATGTGTCACATTTTTCTGTTTCCCTGGACAATTGCAGCCCTTGTCTTACATCTGGCTTGTTTACTGGGAAGACTGGGCACTTCCCTCCCAGTTGTGAAAGGGCATACTTGGACATTTTAATTTAGTCAGCTATTCCTTAATCCTAAACACACCAAAATATTTAACCTTTTATCGTTTTCCACGGCAAGGAAGTAAATACATTGCAAACTTGAGTTTCAGAGCTTGGAAAAACACCACAACTCTTAATGAGTGTGGCAGAATTGTTTGGGTAGACTTGTTTTCTGTAATAAATGAGAGAAGAGATACCACACTCTGATTCTGAGGGATTATTAATTGAACAAATACCTTCATTTTGGATTTATGCACTAGATTGTGGATTAAAATTTCCAGTAAACTGTGCAGATGATGACTATTAGAATACCATGAGAATTTAGGGGAGGGGAAAATAAGCAAGAAAAGCATCAGTAGAAATTGGATTACTCTTTACCTCATGATCAAAGGGGGCTTTAGTTAATGCAACTATTTTTCATGAAATAACCTTCCCTCCAAATAATCTATATGGGAAAAAATGACTTTTTGGCTCTACTGGTGTGACACTCACGTAGTACCCTTTATGAATGTTGATGTAATCTTCCTCCTCCTTTTTCTTCCAGAAATACAACTGACACTGACCATGACCATGACCATGAAGAACTGTAATCATTCCAAGTCATCACTTCTCCACCAAACACACCGAGCCCAGCAGCGGTGACCAGATGTTCAAGACTTAAATGCCAATACCAAACTCCAGCTTTAAACAGATTTAAGAAATCTCCACCACTTTCCCTTCAGTACGAAGCTCTTTAAATGCACAAACTACGTGCTGGATTTTTATTCTTTTGGTTTTTAGCTCCCCACATCACTACAACAGTTTTCAACAGGAAAAAAAAAAAAAATTAATTTGGATTTCCACAATACAACTACTGCTATTACTTGTTATAATTTTTCATTTCTCATGCCTCAGAGGGTGCTCTTATGTGACTGACTGTAAAGCCTAGAATATAGAATATTTCAGTTGGAAGGGACCTACAATGATGATGTAGTCCAACTGCTAGCTGTGTATATTGGTACATTTCTTCAGAAGGGTAAAATTTCTTAAAATGTGGAGGAGGGATCATAAGAAACTGAGTAATACTAACATTTACACCTCTCTGAGTTCAGCTAGAGGAAGTTCTCTTAAACTAGTAAAATTTAAAAAAGGAGATTCTTCTGCTGAGAAAGAAATTTCTGTTCTGAAATCTTCCAGATTTCCAGTATGTATTTAGTACAGATTCCAAATTATCTTTCCATTTTGTTCAGGAAACTGAAGGGAACTCTTATTATTTTTCTGTACTGTGTACATTCTTGTTGAGTCTTTATTTGCTAGATCTGTTGCAGAAATTCAAAAACTTCTGGGGGTATAAGAATGCTTTTTGTCTCCTGGAATGAGGTGTAAAATTTACAGGATAACTTTATGGTTATTTGTTACTTCCTGGAAATTTTGGTAAATTTTTAGCAAGCTGTTTTGCTGTGGGATTTTTTGGTTGAGTTTTGTGTTTGGGGTGTTGGATGGTTTTGGCTTTTGGTTGTTCAGTATTTTTACCCAGAGTGCTCTCAGTTTCAGGAATTAGAGTTCTGAGCAGTTATAATCAAAATTTCTGATCCTGTTCTCCCATTCTCTGGCCCCAAATGAATGTCGTTTGCTTCTGCTGAGTTAATATTTGAAATGCATTTGCAGGCCCTGGCACAGGCAATCAAAGAAGCCAAAGAGCAGCACCCTGACATGTCTGTCACGAGGGTGGTGGTGCACAAAGAAACAGAGCTGGCTGAGGAAGATGAAGAGTAAGATCAAAAAAAATGTCCTCAAGCAAATATTTTAGGTAAGGTATATAAGGAACAAGGGAAAATGTAGCTTCAGTTTTCTGTTGCGTGCTCTAATAAAAGGCTGAGTTGAAACAGGCAGTAATAGTAGACTTAGTGTCAAAATTTTGATCTTAAGTCCAATCTGACATTCATTTTAATTGCAAATTTTCCTGTAGTGTCGCCCAGTGCTGTCACACTACTCTGGTGGCATTTCCTACAATGTTTGGCCAAGTTGTTGCCGTTTCTGTTGAAGTGAATTTTAGCTATTTCTGCAAAACATGAAGGATGTGTCACATTTTTCTGTTTCCCTGGACAATTGCAGCCCTTGTCTTACATCTGGCTTGTTTACTGGGAAGACTGGGCACTTCCCTCCCAGTTGTGAAAGGGCGTACTTGGACATTTTAATTGAGTCAGCTATTCCTTAATCCTAAACACACCAAAATATTTAACCTTTTATCGTTTTCCACGGCAAGGAAGTAAATACATTGCAAACTTGAGTTTCAGAGCTTGGAAAAACACCACAACTCTTAATGAGTGTGGCAGAATTGTTTGGGTAGACTTGTTTTCTGTAATAAATGAGAGAAGAGATACCACACTCTGATTCTGAGGGATTATTAATTGAACAAATACCTTCATTTTGGATTTATGCACTAGATTGTGGATTAAAATTTCCAGTAAACTGTGCAGATGATGACTATTAGAATACCATGAGAATTTAGGGGAGGGGAAAATAAGCAAGAAAAGCATCAGTAGAAATTGGATTACTCTTTACCTCATGATCAAAGGGGGCTTTAGTTAATGCAACTACTTTTCATGAAATAACCTTCCCCCCAAATAATCTATATGGGAAAAAAATGACTTTTTGGCTCTACTGGTGTGACACTCACGTAGTACCCTTTATGAATGTTGATGTAATCTTCCTCCTCCTTTTTCTTCCAGAAATACAACTGACACTGACCATGACCATGACCATGAAGAACTGTAATCATTCCAAGTCATCACTTCTCCACCAAACACACCGAGCCCAGCAGCGGTGACCAGATGTTCAAGACTTAAATGCCAATACCAAACTCCCATTTTAACATCTTTGGTCTATATATTCCCTTACAACCTTTCTTGTTTATTTTTTTATAACCACTTCTTAACAATCTTAGAGTATTTTTTTTTTTTTAAATGAAGTTTTAGAGGGTATGATCTTCTTTTGCACAAATACTTGTATTTTTGAAGCTGATTCTTAGTTGTATGAAAGTGAACAAAAAGAAATCTGGAAAGTGTTGTTCACTGGAGCCGGAGGTAATTGTGCAGAAAAGGGGATCTTAACTAATTTAGATATAGTTTTTTTCCAAATATTTCAAGTGAAATCTCTTACTGGAGTAATTTACAGATTTTTTTTTTCTTTTTTTTTTGTGCAGATTATTCAGGTAAATATATGGTATCGCATAACAAAGATTTTTATAAAGATACGACATTTCCTAAAATTTGAAAAAAATCTATTTCTTTGGATAAATTTTGTACTGCTCTCTCTGTAACCCCTCCTGCTCTGAGGCCCTCCCCTCTGCGGAGCAGAGCCGCGCGGTGGCCCGTGGAGGAGGAGGAGGAGTCCCAGACACGTTTCTTCTGACTGAGCACTGTGTTCCTTTTTTTTGCACTTTGGTGCCAATGCTCAACTTCCTGCAGGCGTTTTTTTACTGCCTGTGCCATTCCAGAGAAGGGAAGAAGGAAGAACAAAATATCTTTCTCTTCTTCCAACAAGAGATGATCTAGGCAGCTTAAAACCGTAGTGCTTTTTTTTTTTTTTTTTTTTTTTTTTTCTGTGTCCGAACTTCAACACTTCCATTATTTGGTTACATGTGTAGAAAACGCTCGCTTTTTATTAAACCTCACTGTTTTCCACGTTAGAACTGACATTTCTGTTACTGGGAAGGAATAAATTTCAGACTCTTCGTCTAAGGGTTGATGCAGGTTTTTAGGATACTGAGTAAAAGCGTACGATGGACTCCGTTCATAAAGTAATAAGACAGTACCATCATTTCAGACTGCCATTGAGAAAACCTGTTAATTATTTTGGATTTTATTTTTATTTCGTTCTTTGGGGGGGGGGGGGGTGGTATTTTGTTTGGGTTTGTTTTTTTTTTTTTTTTTTTTTTTTTGCTGTTGACTCTGTGTATAGTTAAAATGCCAAATTAGATTTATAGCAGCTTGGAGTTGTATTAAGTGATATTTTGCTTTCTGTAATTCTGTTATAAAATAAAGTTGTTTATTCTCTGTACAGCTTTTGGCACTGGGAGCTATTTAAAGTGAGTTAGGGGATCTGCAGTTCTATGGGCAGGGACTGAAGAGCAGTGTCCAGTGGTACCAGAAGGGTGGCATCACTGTCTGGCTCCTAATACTGGTACTAAAGTATCAATATTCTTCAGACATCTTCCAATAAGCATCCTGGTTTCTGTGATTCAGGGAAAAAAAATCTTCAGATGCCAAAAAAGATGAGATTTGGACCGTCACAGTACAAGTTAAAGTGCCCCTCAGTCTGCAGGTGGTTCTGGTGAGTTCACTGAGGTTGGACACTGATCTTCAAGGACCAAACCAAATCGTAACGCTTCTTTTTCACTTCTGAGCCATGTATTTTTGGTGCTATTCTCAGTTTCGATCGCTGCCATCTGTCAGCAGCAGAAATCCCTGTCAGTTTTGGCTTCAGACAGTCTGGATAACGTAAGACAACAGTAACCACGGTGTTGATTTATGTATGCGTATAGGTCTGCTCAATTACATCCCACCTTGCCCCGAAAAATAGCAAATTCTGACCTGCTTTTCTTCAAAAACAGAGATATTCTGCCTTTCAAAAAGGGGTGGAGAACCCCACCCAGCCCAATAACAGAAGATGACCACCACCAGCAGCACCGCGCCAGTCGGGAGGTTGTCAAGCAAGTGGCACGTTTGGGACGTGTAAGTGGAGGTCAGAATGGAGATATGTACATTAAAGGGGGGGTCTTAATGGCTTTTTCTTACAAAAGAGTGTAAGGAAAAGCTTTATAAATTCTTTGAGGTATTTTTGATAGGGTGTAGCATTAGTTGCAGAACTCATTTGTTGGGCGGAAAGTGTATTCCTTCCACTTCCTTATTGATTTTAATCTTCCCAATGTGTTAGACACTAGATCAATATTGGGTTTTATTGCAATTGTGTTAATCCTTAAAACTGCAAATATAATATTCTCGGGGAAAAAAGAAATCACTTTCACCGAGAGCTGTATTTCTTCAAATAGTTATTAAAACCTTTTGTCAGGGAAAAATGAATATTGTTTGAGGTCAGCCCAGCTTGTGCGTAGCGATGGCTTCCAGTGGTTAAACATGCACTAATGAAACCACCATTGTCACGCAGAAAAACCTAAGCCCTGAGTGGGATCAATCCTAAAAATAGTCCAGTTTTACAGATTCTGGTTGTATGCAATTATTCAAATGCCCTAGAATATTGTGGAATTCTGATGAGCTTTTCATTGTTACTTTTTTACTCTACAATATGTCTGTAGCAAAAAGTGCAACATGCAACAAAAGAAGCAGTTCCCCAGGCACTTCACAAGCTGCCTTTGTAATACACAGGCAATTTCAAACACAATCACAGGGCATTTAATGAGGAGGTATTTCAGTAATTAATTCTGCTTTAAGCACTGAGAAAAGCAAGTCACGTGGTCCTACACAAAAGTACTTCATATGTCTTTTCAATCGGGATCACCTAAGGGGTCATAAATAAATATTGGAATTTTTCTACAGATTTTTTTTCTACATTAAGGTTTCATAAAGGACAAGCAGCTGGTGATAGACTGGTTTTTTTTTAAAAAAAAAGAAAGAAAAAAATAACCAGTGCTAGACTGTTTTTTTTTAAAAAAAATATATATATTGCTCAAAGCAATGAG